TTGAAGTACCTATATATGTAATATCAAAACAATCAGACTTGTGGTTTTTAACAAGAAGTCGAAAATATCACTTTTTACTAAAAATAACAAAAATATTCACTAAAATTAGAGAATTGAAGATATCAACATGAAATGAACAAACCTAAGAGAGGTCTACCCAAGGTACATATACACCAAGTATCAAAGCATTCAGGCTTATAGTTTTCAAGAAGAAGTCAAAAAAGTAAAATATTGACACGGACGATGATGAACGACGGACGACGACGGACAATCTCTCATATGATAAGCTCCGCTCGACAAAGTCGACAGCGGAGCTAAAAAAAGTCTGGCCTTACATATCAACCATATTGTTTTATTAAGGAGCTGATCAAATGTTTAAAACTCAGGTGGGGGGGGCATATTTTGAAATAATAATCTGCACAGACAAAATTGTATACCAGTAAAAAACCATGTACTATTCACAATTAATAGAAGAAACCAACAAAAATTACAGCAATGCAATGCCTAATTAAAATTTAGGTCCAAACTAATTCTTCTCGCTTCTTTCTGGTGATCAGCCCCTAGCATACCATTTGTCCAGCCCCTGTGGAAAATGATCATATTTTACTTTAAACAATACAGTGACTCGTAAATAACGTTGCTGACAGATTTTCACATCAGCATATCACTTAGCTGCAATGATGTTTGGTTTTTAAATTTCAAATATTTGTCATGTTTTTTTGACTATTATAGCTCAGGTTAAAAAGATTTCTGGTTTTAGTGTTTGAAGTTGTTATTTGGTGAATTGTTGACATCCTAAGAGGCTGAAACTCAACCACGAATAAATCCATGAAATGCTCGATAATTTCCCACTATTGGCAAAATACTTCAGACACAAATATCTTGCAAATAACATAAATTCTGCATTAATTATATGATGCATGTTACTAGACATGCCAAAGACTTTAAACATAAATGTTGTCGACAATAAAACTTTGATATACCAGACACTGAAAGTGAATGCTGAAATGTTTATTCATGCCAGTCATAGTCTTGTACATTCTCTGATTACTCATTATGTAATGAAATTTATTAAATTTAATATTAATGCAAATTTCCTCCTATTCCTCAGCTTTATATCAGTACAGATTCCAGCAGCTGCCAGACGTAGTGGTGCCAGACTCAGATGGTGGCAGCCGAAACACTCCGGACAAGGAAAGAATGACTGGGCCATTGATAACGTTCTTTTGGCAGGGTCTGAGTCACTGTCGAACTCGCTGAAGGACAGATTTGATGATAGTGAACTTGACCCTCATTGGCTTTACTTGGACAACTCCGGATTAGGTAGTTTCTGTCAGGCAGACAGCACTACAAATGATGTTTTTAATATTGTTCAACAAGTGGGAGACACGAATGTACCACTAGCACCAGCTCTGATTGGTTTGCCAGCTAAAGGGGAGAACGTCTCTATAATAACCGAGGACTTACTTCTTGATAAAGACTCAATTCTTCAATTCAAGGTAGGGAAATCCCAAATTACAAGAAAATCATTTTATAAAACATTTTACTATCATTGCACTGCATTCAGATTCTATAACATAATTGGTCGATATACAGGTAAGCTCAAAACAGATCAACAGATTGGCATCTATATGCTTGTAAATGCCACATATAATGCAAGGGCTTTTTGTAAACACCACACATTGGATCTAAATATGTTGCAAATAAAGTTATTTGAATGATACATTCAATGTTGCATCATAGGGATTGAAATCTAATGAGCAAATGACATGCTACATGTATGATATACTTTATTTTATACTGGAATTAATTTTTGCTGAAAAGACAGTTTGGCTGTTTTGCATGAAATTTATTTCCACTGATTTTCGATGGGTAATTAGATCAGTTATAGGATATAGGAAAAAAAGATATTTTCACTGATTTATCCCTTCAGTGAAAATATTGAAAATAAATTCCAAGTGAAAATAAACTGCTTTTCTGTAAGTGTACAATAATTTTTGTATTGATGTAAATTAAAGTTGGTAATTGCAACTTGTTATCATGTGATTATGGTTTTAGATGAGTATGTTTTTAAGTGGCTGACCAAAACTCGCATTTACAATTATAAATAGCTTCTTTTAACTTGTGTGATTACCTATACCAGTCACTAAGTACAGTCTAAATTATGTTGAATATTTCTGCCGTGATGTCTAACGTTATTATTCTGCTATTGTAGATCAGTGTTGGGTGTAATAAAACCAGTTCATCTACAATTCTACCAGTACATCTCACATACTCCACTGATCATGGCATGACTTGGTCTTACCTCATTCCACAATGCCTCCCTTATGACCCACAATGCAATGGTGAAGTTACTCAGCCAAGCGTGTATTTTGCCAATGTGGGATGGCGGAGGGTAACAATAAACCTGCCAGAGAAAGTCTTGGAGAGGTACGTCAGATTATTATCTCTCTTAGTTCTCTGTTTTGATAGATGTTTAAGAAATGTATTCTAATCTTGGTATCTAAAATAGACTTTTTATCTTCTCTCACTTTCATTCTTTCACAGAGAATATATATTTACATCAAACAAAAACAACAAATTTCAAAAATGTATCTGGAGCAATATTTCAATAAAACACATAACGACAGACATGACTCCACTTGTATTATTGCCAATTATTATCTTCCCTGCGTTTTCCCTAGAGCAAAACAAGGTCCATTATCTACTGTGTCAACTCAGGAACGTCAAATTGCAAAATTTAACAGACTTGCTGTAACATACTAGTATCACTATTTAGAAATAGTTTTGTGTGTATCGACATCCCTAACCCTAAATTAAATCTCATCCCAGCCTTCCAATTCAATTGTAC